TGAGTTAATTAATGCTGAAGGTGGAAAATGTTTAGTCAGATTCGTGGCTGTGAACAGGGAAGTAAAACACCACTGCGTTTGGAGTTGTAATAGGATTCAAACACTATGAAAAGCTTACTTTCATCTGTAAGTAGCCTTACTTAATGCTCAGAACATTCCAGGCTGTGTGTTGATCAACCTTTATTGAATCTAACTCTCTTTTTTTCTAAGAAAACATCACGCTAAAAACTGCATGAAATATTACATAGTTATAGGACCATAAAAGAGGAAATCTGTCTGTGTATGAAATCCTCACACAGCTGACCAGCCATCAGCGAAAAGAGGCAGAGAACAACAAACCGTTTGTTTTCTCAGAGGAATTGCTCACAATTGTTCCCATTGTGAGACTAAATTGACTTTATTAAAGCCTCTTAGCGAGTAATAGCCTATCAACCTAATACTCTGAGTGGGGTGTAACACCTCCACAGACATTTTCACATGAATTTCCAAATTATCAGAGGACTTATCATAAAGTTGAAGACATGTAAAAAAAAAAACCTCATTATTACGTATTTATCATTCTGTCACTGTGCAGCCTGCAGTATGCAGTAACAGGACAGTTCTAGCTCGTATTTGTAATTCATAAGAAGGGTTGTGAGTAGAATATTATATTGTGGAAATTTTAAGTGTCAAACTGCTTAAACGGTCAATTTGATCCTAATCTGATGTTTGTTCTCTCTTTTTTGAGGCTGTTTTTTTGTCTAAAGTTGAAATAAGAATTTAGGCTGGCTTAGTTCAATGATATATAAATACAGGGTTTCTTTTGTTAAATACATTTTAGGTTTCCAATCTTTTTTTGGTTCATGCCTAAAACACCTGAAAAACAAAATATTAAGTGTGTCTCTATAATATTAGATATTCATAACATAATGAGTTTTTTTTAAAAAAAAGCATGTTTTAAATATTATTAATTAAGCATTTAACATTTCAAACTCACTTAATGTGCTCCATCAGGACTATGTGGGTGTGGATTTATCAGATTTTATTTACAGTGACCAAACAACCAACGGACTGTCCTCATATTCTCATTCAAATGCTTCTGAATCCTGATTGGTGCACGGAAGTATGTGACATCTTATTTTGCTAAATGAAGCCCCGCCCACTTCAAACCATTGAGAAAAAGCACAAGAAAGTAATACATAAATCGCTCTCTCATGTGAAATAACCAAAACTGTTCAAAGTTTAGCATGAAATAGTGCAGGAACCGTCCCTCTTAGTCAGAAGCCAGCAAAGAAAATACATTTTGAGGGCCTTTAAGATGAAGCTGTGTCCGTTTACAACCCGTCGTCACAAGTTGTGCATGTCTGTGAGTGGCTGTCTTCTCAGTGTTTTTCATTTGAATAATATTTCTCAACATGTACAATATTTAAAAAGAAAAAAACAGAGATTAGAGAAAAGCTGTGTACATATAATATAATATTAATTTTCTTTTTTCTATTTTCCCATGACCCTTTCAGTTTTGTCATCTGACTCCTCTGAGGGGTCCCAGCCCCGAGGTTGGTAACCACTGGTTTAAGATTCTCCATGTGATTTCCAGCCATGTTGACTCCTTTTTCATTTAGTGTTCAGATGGTTGTAAATGAGTCCAAAAATGATTCGATATCTGGTTGTTTAATTGGTCTTGCGGTTACGGTTCTGGAGTGAATGTGTTTTTAGCCTTTGTCTTCTCTAAGCACACAGTAATTTGACTCTGGTATTTCTATCTGGCTTCAGTGAAAGTGTATGAAGCGGAAGTATATCGGGTCATCACATACATACATTGCTCAACTGTTTGGACACATAGCAGAGAAAGAAATCTTATCACAGCTTCAAATTACCTCACTTCCTATTACTCTGGAAGTATTTTGCGGGCTATACAGAAACTGTGGAGGGCCTCGTTTCACAGATGCTTGCATGAGTCTGCCGGAGAAGTTGAAGCGAGGTGTCCGGATATTTAAAAAAGATGCAGAATGATGGGAAATGCTGTTTTCTTTTCCTCAATAATCTTTACCCAACAATAATTCAGACAGACATGTTTTTGTGTCAGTTTGAAGAAAGCTACAAAATGAGCTCATGCCACAATAACCCAACACTTCCTTCCCTGTCTGCCCTCATTGTGAAGCATTGCACAGAGGCATGTTCAAGATCTCTTAATTAGTGATGGCACTGCACATATACAAGGTAGATATGATGAAATGAGGAATTTTAACATATACTTTTCCTGCATAATATATTTTTCTAGTGCAGAAATACAGTAAAAGTTTTAATTCATTTGATTTAAAAAGAAACAAGGAAGTAAAAGCAAACAGAGAAGATACATTTGATTTCTAAATGTTCATCTTGGTATTTTTTACCTGCTGTGTCAGAATTATTTGACTGTTATTTGCAGTGGTGGAAGAAGAAAGTGGATCCTTTTACTTTTATCCTTTTATGTAAAAGTGGAAACACCACAATGTAAAAATACTCCCTTACAATTCCTCCATACATAATTTTACTTCAACAAAAGGGCAAAAGGTTTATCAGTAAAATGCACTTAAAGTACTTAAAGCACTCACTAGGTGGAGTGAATATATTATATAAAATTATTATATTATATATATGTTATACATTATTGATGCATTAAGGCATCATATTTTATTGAATTAGTGGAGTGTAAGTATAAAGTACCTCAAACTGTGCGTTACTTAAGTGCTTATTTTTTCCACTATTGACTAGATAATGTTGTTTATTAAACATTAGTTCTAACTAAATACTCCTTTTTAAAAGCCACAATATGCAGGACATGAAATCTCGTCCCGCTGATTACTTTGATTTCCTGATGACAGCTCATCCATAACACAACCATCATGGACGTAATCCAGATGGGATTCTAATCCAGTATCATTATTCCTGCCGGATGAGAATCAGTGTATTAATAATAGTCTTCTGGGGAATCCTCCACATCATTACTGGCTCTATAATGGGCCACTGTGGGCAATGCAAGCTGTTGAGGTTGAAGCCACGGCCTACAATGCAATAGTGTGTATGAGGTCAACAAAGTTCAGACATCTTAGGTCGGCCTTAACAGAGGCAGTCAACCAGAAGGCCCCTTTATGCCACATCGAGCGTGGAGTTATTGACGGATCCGTCTGATTCAGGGCCCTCCTTCAGCTCCTGCTCACTGTCTTTGTTGTTGTTTTATTTCACCAGCAAGCTCCTTTTGTTTTTTATTTTTGTCTTTCAAAACGCGGAATTCATTCCCTTCAGATGAGATTTTAAACGTGCTGTTTGGCCCGGCAGTTCATGTCAAATAGGTCAGTGTTGGACCCTGCGTGAAAACAGACCTCCAGGCTCCCGCTGTCACTTATCAGAAATGCTTCTTAATCTGCATTTTATACCTGCTCAGAAACTCCAAAAAGAACACTCCAGATTACAAGCATTGAAAC